CTCACAGCAACATCCAACTCTTGGGCTTAAGCAATTCTCTTGCTTCAGCCTCCCAACAGCTAGGACTTACAGGCACCCGCCACAACAACACCTGGCTATTTTTGTTGTTGTTGCAGTTGTAATTGTTGTTTATCAGACCCGGGCCGGGTTCGAACCCGCCAGCCTCAATGTATGTGGCTGGCACGCTAACTGCTAAGCTATGGGCCCTGAGCCATTTCTCAGTTTTTTCAGTGCAGAAAAATTATATATGTATATACTGCTTTACAGGTCATTTTTTCTTCTTAACTTTTTTTTAAAAAGTTAACTGTCTTTGACAGTTATTTGTCTATTTATATCTTTAACATGTGCCACATTCCTTCATTTCTTAGTAATTTTTATCATGTACAGTGTTTTTGAAATTGGCGTAGACCATTATCGCCATCAAAAGGGTCACAGCCGACACACTCATCACAGAAGACAGGTTAACAAGAGAAAAGAATAATAGATTTATCTAATCAGAGTTTACATGACATGGAGCCCTCAGAATGAAGGCCTAAAGATACAGGGAAACCTGCCCATAATTTTATGCTTAGATAAGGAGTGGACAGCCATATAGAAATGTGATTGAACAAAAAGAAAATGATCTAATGGTAATAGACTGAGTGAGGAAACTCAGTGAGCCTTGTCTGTGTGGGTTCTTCTTAGTTTCTTCTTATGTTTCCGCTTGCATATAGGGCAAAAACCCTTTTAGAATGTGGGTCTTATGACCTCCTGTTACACAAGGATAGGTCAGAGGATTTCTTTATGGCCAGCTCCTAGAAGGAAAGATGAAGGAAGATGAGATTAATATTTTTAGGTTTTATGGCTGACTTTGGAAGAGAGGGGTTCTGGTTTCTATGACCCTCCTTGGGGAAGAGTAATTCTAGTTTCTGTGTTAGCTTTGGAGAAGGATGAAGGGTGAGAGATGGGGAATAGGAAAGGGTCAGACAGAAAATTTGCTTCAGAGGCCTTCACTTTGGGCTATTGTTATCTGAGCCCCAACACTGGATACTTGCATACTATTGCTTTATTTATTTAATGATGTATGGTTGTTTTTCTTCCCTGTGAAATTACTATATCAGAGTATGGCAAATAATTAGCATAATCTTAGGACTGAGTAAATATGGTAGATGCCTTCTTTTCTTTTTTCATGTTGCTCAGGCT